GTGGGGGGCTGCGGAGAAGCCCAGGTAGAATTTTAACTGGCCCTTCCTCTCAGTTTTCAGTGAACCTCTTCCGGACACTGCCACCTTCATCGAATCCCACAGGGGCTGAGTTTGACCCAGAGGAAGATGAGCCCACCCTGGAAGCTGCCTGGCCACATCTCCAGGTACCAGGGCAAGAGAGCAGGTTGGCCCTGGCTGCAGGGAGTGGGGCACTTGGAGGCCGGGAAGTCCTTGGGAACACCGCCTCAGTGGCGCGCCTTTTCCCCCACAGCTCGTGTATGAGTTCTTCTTACGTTTCCTTGAGTCTCCTGATTTCCAGCCAAACATAGCCAAGAAGTACATCGACCAGAAGTTTGTCCTTGCTGTGAGTCCCCTAGTTCCTGTCTTGTCCTCTCTTTCCATTCCATGTCTGCCTTACCTGTGTCCAAGTGGCTCTTTCCCCTTACGCAGAATATATTGGGCTTCAGCCATGACTGGTATGAGAAGGCTATAAAGGGTTAAAAAAAGAAACCCTACTCTAGCCTTTAGAAACTCACTGCATAATGGAAGGAAACAAAAAAACAATAGAGTACCTCTTTCTGGGAGGCATCACTTTGGAAGTCTCAGTACAAATACAATAGAATCAGCAATAGAGTAGAATCACTTTGGTTTCTAAAACTTGCCAGCTCCCCCTCCAGGGAACCTCTGTACTTCCCCTGGCAGGACCTCTGTTACCCTGGCCCCCACCTTCCCTGGCTGCTGCCTCACCAGCTGCTTTCCATCCCTCATGCTCCTAGCTCCTAGACCTATTTGACAGTGAGGATCCTCGAGAGCGGGACTTCCTCAAGACCATTTTGCATCGCATCTATGGCAAGTTTTTGGGGCTCCGGGCTTATATCCGTAGACAGATCAACCACATCTTCTACAGGTGAGGCCAGGAGCCCAGGCTTAGGAGTAAGCAAACTGCTACCGAGGTGGGGTGGGAGTGGGAAGGTGGGGGGAACTGTACAGAATGCTGGAGGGACATCAGGGGTTGTCAAGAGAGGTCTTTTCTTTCCTCAGGTTCATCTATGAGACGGAGCATCACAACGGGATTGCTGAGCTCCTGGAGATCCTGGGCAGGTAAGAGGTGGGGTGGGGCACAGAAAGGTTGGGAGGATTGGTACATTGAACTTGGATCTGTCCCTTTAGTCCTGACAAATCTCCCTTAATTCCTAGCATCATCAATGGCTTTGCCCTGCCCCTTAAAGAAGAGCACAAGATGTTCCTCATCCGTGTCCTGCTTCCCCTTCACAAGGTCAAGTCCCTGAGTGTCTATCACCCTCAGGTGAGCTGCCTTCTTCGTGATAATGTCCAACTCAGGCAGCAGAGAAAAGATGGGGGCAGGAAGGTATTCCAGCTGGGATAGGGGAAGCATAGGGAGCAGGTGGGAGAATTCCTTCCCTCCACCTCCCCTTCCTTTCTGGGATCTTGCTTTTATCACTGACTTCTCTGAGAACTTCTAGGACCTACACCTCATCTCCTTTTTACCTCACACTTTTGCAGTTGGCATACTGTGTGGTACAATTCCTGGAGAAGGAGAGCAGTCTGACTGAGCCGGTAATTTCCCTTCCGGGACCCAAGGCCCACCTAAACTGTCGTCAGCATCACTTGCCAGTCTATACCTATTGAGCAGTACCATAAGGGGGTGCTTAGGAGGGCTGTGACCTGACAGGTAACATGATTTCCTCTCTGAAGGAGAAGTGAAACCTATATATACACCTAGGAAACAGATCTAAGGCAAATAAACAAGGGCAGTTGGCTGAGATCACCCAAGCTGTGCCCACCAGGGTCGGGGAAAGCATGGGTGGGAAAACTTCCTAGACACCCAGGCAGGTGTAGAGAATTTTCATCCCCATGCCCTTCTTGTCTCCCAGGTAATTGTGGGACTTCTTAAGTTTTGGCCCAAGACCCACAGCCCCAAGGAGGTGATGTTCTTGAATGAGCTGGAGGAGATTCTGGACGTCATTGAACCTTCTGAGTTTAGCAAAGTGATGGAACCCCTCTTCCGCCAGCTGGCCAAGTGTGTCTCTAGCCCCCATTTCCAGGTGAGACTCTGACCTAGCATATCCCAACCCCTGCCAGAAACTGAGGTCTTGAGTGAAACGAGAGGTACCCACCAAGTCCGCATCTCCCCACCAGGTGGCAGAGCGTGCTCTCTATTACTGGAACAATGAGTATATCATGAGCCTGATAAGTGACAATGCAGCCCGAGTCCTCCCCATCATGTTCCCTGCACTTTACAGGAACTCCAAGAGCCACTGGAACAAGTAAGGCACTGGGGGGCGGGGCTGGGTGGTGGGGATCCAGTTAGGAAAACTTTGAGGATATGGAAGAACTAAGGGCCAGGGGTCTCACCTGGTCACCCAGCAAGTGGGGCTGGTGTCCCCTGCATGTTGATAGGACCTTGAGGGGCTAACTGGAGCCAAAAGATGCCTCTGTGATATCAAATAGCAGGGCAGCAACCTGTGTTACACCACTCCTTGGGGTCAGCTATTCTGCAGGTCCTGTCACAGCTTTAGAGACGTAATTCTGTGCTGCAAAAAGCTGATGTGACCCTCTTTGAGAGTATGTGTAAAGAATCCCAGGGTTTTGGGCCAGGCACAGTGGCTCATGCCTGTAATCCCAGTACTTTGGGAGGCTGAGGCAGGTGGATCACTTGAACTTAGTAGTTCGAGACCAGGCTGGCAACGTGGGGGAACCCCGTCTCTACTAAAAACACAAAAATTAGCTGGTGTGGTGGCATGCGCCTATAGTCCCAGCTACTCGGGAGGCTGAGGCAGGAAAATAGCTTGAAACCAGGAGGTGGAGGTTGCAGTGAGCCAATTTTGTGCCACTGCACTCTAGCCTGGGCAACAGAGTGAGACTCCATCTTTAAAAAAATAAAAAAGAAAGAAAAAAGAATCCCAGGGTTTTGAAAGGACTTTTCTGCTAAAAGCAAGCACAGTGTGGTATAGATGCAGTCTGTCATGCTGCTGGGAGGCCATTAGTGTGGGTGAGAGAGTGGGAAAGGGTAGGAAGTAGGCAGGCCTTGGAGAATGGGGTGAGGGAAGCATGGACAGATGGACCATGAAATGCCAGTCTCAAACCACATGATTTGGCCGAAGCTATCTTCTGATCCTGCATAGAGGTTTGTGAACTGGAAGTAGTAAATGAGAAAGCTCTTAGTAGACATACCCCTGTGAGAGAACAAATTGGGTTCCTTGTGCTAAGGGCAGACTCTGGTCTCCTACACCTCATCTTTCTTCCTGGTGGCAGGACAATCCATGGACTGATCTATAATGCCCTGAAGCTGTTTATGGAAATGAATCAGAAGCTATTTGATGACTGCACACAACAATACAAGGCAGAGAAGCAGAAGTGAGTACCTCTCTCCCTGGGAGACTTTCATCTTCTACCACTAGCTCACTTTGTTTCTCTCAAGCCCAACCCCAATCCTACTTTTTTGATCCTCAGGGGCCGGTTTCGAATGAAGGAAAGGGAAGAGATGTGGCAAAAAATCGAGGAGCTGGCCCGGCTTAATCCCCAGGTGAGGATTTCCTGCCAGTGTTGTGAAGTGACAGGCCAGCCCATCTTGAGCTGGGGGAGGAATATGAGGCACACAGACCCCCAAGTCTCTGAAGTGGCTCTCACCGCTGTCCATGTCTCCTCTCACTCAGTATCCCATGTTTCGAGCTCCTCCACCACTGCCCCCTGTGTACTCCATGGAGACAGAGACCCCTACGGCTGAGGACATCCAGCTTCTGAAGAGGACTGTGGAGACTGAGGCTGTGCAGGTGAGAGGACAATGTAGGAGAATGGAGCAGAAATAATAGCTCTGGAAGGGAGAGGAGACACAGACAGCAGAGCCAAAGAATAAGGGGAGGAAACAATAGAATTCACTGGGAATTGGTCACTGTTCCTTCCCTTGTCCCTATTCACACACAGATGCTAAAAGACATCAAGAAGGAGAAGGTGCTGCTGCGGAGGAAGTCGGAGCTGCCCCAGGACGTGTACACCATCAAGGCACTGGAGGCGCACAAGCGGGCGGAAGAGTTCCTAACTGCCAGCCAGGAGGCTCTCTGACCCCCTCACCTTCTTACCACAGGGCCACAGCCCACTCAGCCCTGGAACACTGCCCCGGCCCTCCACACTCTGCTCCCTACTGGCTGACTTGGGGGAAGGCAGCGTCTCTCTAGCTACTCTAGGGAGGGGGATGTGGGCACTTGAAGCAGGGACACCCACAGAGTGGTCCCTCTTCTCCCCAAAAGGTGTTCATGCCTCCTTGTGGCTCATACAAGCTGAGCACTAAGATATTCAGTGCTCAGACAACCTGGGGATGCCTGTCCCCTACATGCTCCTCACCCACAGCTACCTGAGGCTGCTCTGAGAAGTATACACAGGAATACATATGCTCCTCTATTCTTCCCTTCATCCTCATTTGAACACCAGGTGTCTCCCCTCTCTCTCCACTGCAGAGGCAAGTAGGGAACAGCAGGAGATTACTCTCACCAAAGTTAGGCAAACCCCATTCTCCCCTGGAGTAGCTGGAGGGAAGCCAACCCCCTGCAGCACAAATAGGCACCCCTAGCCCCAGCCATGTACTGGCAGATAGGGTTGTATTATTTCCTCTTACCCCATGCCTGACCAAGGGAGGTCAAAAGGAGAAAAGTATAGGCTATGGACAGTAACTGAGGAATATAGGGCCCAGATAGACTGGGTGGGGCCAGGGAGGGATGAACAAACACCTTACCCCATGCCCTGTCTTTGGTGAGCAGCAGCCCTGGGATCAGACATGGAAGGGACCACCCTCGGGCTGACTGCTTTCCCAAAACTAGAAGGAAGCAGGGAGCAATGCCCCAAGCATGGCTCCTGGCAACACCTATTTATTTCCTTGTTTGTGCTAGGCTGGGCATGCCCTCTCTTGTCCCTTGTAGGTACCCTGGAGGGGCAAGGGACTGAGGAGGGCTGGACCCAGGTTCCAGGTGCACAGGCAGTGCGGCTTTTGGCTGTGTATATAGGGTGCTTTATTCTCCACAGAGTGATACATGCTAAGGTGGGTTGGGCTTGGGCTGATGTCCCCATATGTACAGAACCGAATAAAGTGGGTCTCTGAGAAGCCTTATGTGCCTTGATGTGGAAAGGGAGATGGGGAAGATGGGAATGGACATTACAACCAGGGATGTGTTCAGTCCTGTGCTGGTTCTGGCCTGGAATGTAGGAAGGTAAGGCAGCTCTCTGTGGTCACTTCCAGGCAGGGGATGCCTGCCGGGCTTGGAGGGCTTTCTGTACCACATCTTCCCACTGGGCATCTGATATCTCCCGAGCCCAGGCAGGAACCCCTGGCGCAGGCAGGCTTACTCCAGCCATCGTCCTTTTCACCAGCTCTACATGTTCTGAAATCAGAGCCAAAGGCCAGTCAGGGACAGAAATAATGGGACCAGCTCTCCTCCCCAATCCCTGAATCAACCCAGCGCCCTTGGGTGGGTCACCAAATCCATCTTATTTTCTAGGCCAGCCTGCCCATCCCCAAAGCTAGCAGATGAGCATTTCACTTGGACTCTGAAGTCCACAAAATCTTAGTTTACAAACTATCTTTTTAGGAATAGGGTCTTCATCTGAAACTTCCTTCTACTGACTCAAGCCAGTTCATTTCCTTAGTAATTATTCCAAAATGAAAGAATTATCTCTTTTACCTGGGTCCATGGGAATAGAGCTGTGGTTGTTCAACGCTGTAGCTCCTTCTTCATCTTCATCATCACTCTCTAATGGTGGGTCTGGCAAATGAAGTCCCAGAGCCTGCAGAGCCAGAGAAGACCCTTTGGGTCCAGGCTTCCAAGGAGCCCAGCTTCACCTGTTGAGGAACCATCCCCCCTCCACCCTACCTGGATTCGATCCTGGATGTCAGCAACTACATCTCCATCCCCGACTGGTGCCAGTTCCACCTCCTCTTGTTCAGGATCTTGGTTCAGGGGCTGGTAGGAATAGCTAGCTGGGCCAGACCCAGTTTCCTCCTGTTCTTCCTCAGGCTCCTCACTGCTCCAATCCCCAGTGCCTTCTGAAGGGCCCTGATGTGGCCCCAGTTCCTCAGTCTGATTGGGGAAGATACGCTCAGGGCCCATGCTGTCTCCCCCTAGAACTACTGTTGCCATCCGAGCAGGGGCTGCAAGAACAGAGAGGAGGGCGGACAGGGATTGTATGAAACGAGGCCCATCTTCATCTTCATAGTCTCATCATCTCCTTGCGGTCTCCTGCGTGAAAAAAACTAGCTCCTCCCCGAGGCTCCTGCATCCTCCACCCCTCCGCCCCCCTCCAGCCTCTCGTTCCTACCCCTAAGTCAGGGCTCTTATCTCGAACCAGGCCCCACAGCCTTGCTCCTCCAGTTCCTAATTAAACGCCCAACCGGAGGCCCTGCCATCTCCTAAGACACCCCTTCCAGAACACTGGCTCCCCCGCCACGCCTCCCCCGCGACTTGGGAACTCTGGGTCACCGGATTCCCCTTAACAGGGCGTACCCGCCCCCTTCTCCCCTCTCCTGGAGGTCCCCCTCTGTACCGCCTGACAAATGCCCTTCAGGCCCCATAGGCTCCCCTCAAATGGTCCCAGCTGCGGCGTCCCCCACCCGCCCCCACCCGCCCCCACCCGAATCCCGGCGCCGGTGTCTCCGCGCGCCTCACCTGCTCAAAGCCCGTGGCCTTCACTTCCGGCGGCGCAGGACGCGCAGAGGTGCGTAGTCCTCCAGCCCCGCCTCATGCTCATGACTGATGCTAGCGACGACGAGGAGTCCGCCCCTTGCCCCGCCTCCGTCATGCCCAGCCCATAAAACAAAGGACTGCATTACCCAGTGGCCCCTTCGGTCTTGACACATTTGCACATGCGCATAATCTCTCCTACGCCCCTGCCCATTCCTCAGCCCTCTAGTCTCTCAAGAAACAGGTGGACTACAAGTACCGGAAGACCTCGGGCACTTAACTGCGACTGCAAGTGCGCGCACAGCTGCCCGCCGGAAGAACCGAGCTTGGCTGTGTTTATCTCGTTGGGGACTAAGGCGTCGGTTGGCGCGCAACGGGTTCTAGGCTGCAGGCAGCGCGAGGACCCGCGGCCCCGCCCCGGCCCGGCCTGGCAGGTAGCCTGGGATGGGTGGAAGGGCAAGGAAGAATTGGGGGGCTGAGGACGCCCTGTCTAGAGCTGGAGTCGCGGGGGAGGGGCTGAGAGTGATGAGGTGGTGGGGGTGGGGAGGGAGCTAGGGGGATGATGGGAAAGGAGAGTGTTAATGGGGAAAGCGGGGCTAGGGGAGGATGGCGAGGTGGGTAGGAGAGACCTGGTGGCTGGAGGAAGCACTGAAGGAAATTGGAAGGAAGACTGGGCTATGAAAACAAGGAAGCTGAGCATAATGAAAGGAGAGGGGAGGCTGGAATGGCTGGAAGACGACAGGGATAGAGTCATATGCAGGGAGGGATATCCGTGGTCAGTGCATGTTAATTTTTCTTTCCTTGGTGGAGGTGGGAAAATGGAGGGCTGTTGGGTGGAGCTTGGAGAGGTAGAAGGAAAAACGAGAAAACTGCAAAGCTCTCACGAGATCGAGAAGGGCGAGAAAAGGGGAATAAAAAATGCGAGAGACCAGGGGGTTAGATAAATTAAGCGAATAGAAGAAGCTTGAAAATGCTTGGTGGTGACGGAGGATTGGGGAGACCCAGGGATAAGAGGAGCCCCTCAGACCCTGGGGGTTTGTTCTCCTTGAATTTGAGTTATTCTTATGGAAGAGAAACTAATTTTTTTTTCTCCACCTTTGCCTGGAGTTGCTTTTCTCTTCTGTGCATTTTTTACTTTACTTTAACATATCTGAAGGGAAGAATAGAGGATATAAGGGACGATGGAAGACTTCCATTTTTAAGCCCGTCAACCTCCTAACAGTCTCCGCAAGCCCAAACCCAAGATATTTTGGAGAGCGGGAGTAATGAAGTGAGAGTAGCTTCCTGCCGGGCTATTTGAGGATGGGCCCCGTGGCTATTTAAAGCTTGGGGTGTGCAATTGAGGGAGGTTGGGTGGGTGGGACTAGCAAGCCAGCTGAAAGCCATGTCTCTTTCCTGCAAGGGGCCTCCCTTATTTGAGCTGTTTTTGTGCCTGAGGTCTGGCCCTTCCCTCTGCCAGGGCTATTTAAATAGGGAGCAGATGATCCACCCAAACTCAGAAGATGCCTGCCAGCAAAAGCACTCTCAGTTGCAAGGATTTGCCTGAAAGAACCCTCAGATGTACCCAGATGTACCTTCCACTAGGTTGGCAGGTTGTCTTTGAGACCACAACCACTCATGCTGGATCTTTCTCTTGTCTTGCCCAAGGATATTTTTGCCTCCCTTCCCCTTTCCATTGCACACTTCCACCCCTGTCCACCTTTCAGGAACCCAAGTTTTGGAAGAGCTTTCACTCTTTTCTACTGGAAATGACTTGTTCTCTACCACAATAGCAGGGATGGGGAAGTGGCAGAAGGAGAAAACCCCTTCCTCTATCCCCATCCCCCAAGCCTAACCATACACATACCTTCCTGGCTTAAGTCTTGGAAGCATACCAGGCACAGCTGTCAAAGGAACTCCTTGTGCCTGTGGAGGGCCCTGGGTGACCCCAGTGACAACAACTCACTTGACAAGAGCTCCCTGTGAGAGGCTAACTAACTATGGCAACATGGAGGTCCCTGTCCTGGATCAATCCCGCCCTATCATGGGTAGGGGGATTGTTTCACACTAAAAGCCTGAAAGCTTTTCTGCTTTGAGGCACTCATGCCAGCTTTCAATGGACTGTCTGAGGCTGGCTGAGCTATTAATAGCTGTGAGTATTTTGAGATCCCTTTCCCCACCTTAAAGAACACAGAGATTCTTAGAGAGGTGGCAGTAAGCAGAGCAGAGCCAGAGACAAGAGAATATACCCAACTTGGGAAGGGGGCATGAAGTTTGTGCCAAGCCAGGGATAGAGTAGAGCTGCCACAAGTAGGGAGTGACCATGATCAGCAGATTCTGAGCTGGCAATCAGGTTGGGGCAGCCCCACCCTTCACTGTTGGAGAATACTGGGCCAGGGCTAGCTCCCTGACCTCGGCAGCTCCCTTGGGGCAGGGCCAGCCACCTGAGCTGTGACTAGTGTCCCTGTGGAGGGGTAGTGTGGGAGGGCCACCAGGGTGACACTTGGAGGCAAAGGCTGGTTCTGGGTAGAGTCATAGTGAGCCAGGCAGAAGCCCTGCCTGAGGATCCCGTGGCCCCAATTTGTGTGCAGGTAGCAGAGGCAGCAGGCCGTGCCGGGGGGGCATGTTGCTGTAACCAGTGGCCCAGGGGATGTTACGGTGGACAGTGCACCTGGAGGGCGGGCCCCGCAGGGTGAACCATGCTGCAGTGGCTGTCGGGCATCGGGTATACTCCTTCGGGGGTTACTGCTCTGGTGAAGACTATGAAACACTGCGTCAGATAGATGTGCATATTTTCAATGCAGGTAAGCCAATGGTGGAGCTATCCCCTGGGTCCCCACATCAGGGAGGGAAATGGGCTGCTGAATGAGGTTTGGCTGTGGTCTCTGGGGCCCAGGGGATTGGGGACGATTATCTGGTTTGGGGAAAGGTGAATAACCTGGACGGAGGTTCCCAGGGCTGAGCAGAGCTATGCCCACAGTGTCCTTGCGTTGGACAAAGCTGCCCCCGGTGAAGCCTGCCATCCGTGGGAAAGCTCCTGTAGTACCATACATGCGGTATGGACACTCAACTGTCCTCATCGACGACACGGTCTTCCTTTGGGGCGGGCGGAATGATACCGAAGGGGCCTGCAATATACTCTATGCCTTTGACGTCAGTGAGTATGGATCTCAGAGGGGCTGTGTCCTTCCGATGTTGCCTCGGGTGCCTGAGAAAAGCTTGGGGTGGGGTCTTGGGGAGTAGAGTACCCCAGAGCTCAGGAGGGACTGTCATGGAGGGTGCTTACTTGAGTCATTTTCTCATCTCCTTCAGATACTCACAAGTGGTTCACACCCCGAGTGTCAGGGACAGTTCCTGGGGCCCGAGATGGACATTCGGCCTGTGTCCTGGGCAAGATCATGTACATTTTTGGGGGCTACGAGCAACTGGTAGGTCTGGGAAGAAACTAAGAGGTTTTGGGTGGGACTGAGAAAGAGGAAGGGCAATTTAGGGTGATGAAATGGGAGGCTTTGGCTTGTTTGCAGGTTTTGAGGGGAGGGATGGAAGGTCAGAGAGTGATCATTGCCTCCCTTTCTTCTTCCTCCTTTTTTCTTCCTACTCAGGCGGACTGCTTTTCCAATGACATTCATAAGCTAGATACCAGCACCATGACATGGACTCTTATCTGTACAAAGGTCTGCTCTTTCTTTTTTCTCCCAGCTCCCCACCCTCCGTTGAAGAAATCATAGGAAGCTCAGTCAGAGCAGAGCCTCTTCCAGCCTTTGTGCTGACCCCTCCACCATCTCTCTGCCTCTGCCCAGGGCAACCCTGCACGCTGGAGGGACTTCCATTCAGCCACGATGCTGGGAAGTCACATGTATGTCTTTGGGGGTCGTGCCGACCGCTTTGGGCCATTCCATTCCAACAATGAGATTTACTGCAACCGCATTCGCGTCTTTGACACCAGAACTGAGGCTTGGCTGGACTGTCCCCCGACTCCAGTGCTGCCTGAGGGGCGCCGGAGCCACTCGGCCTGTGAGTGTTTGTTACTTCCCTGTGGAGTTCCCTTCCTGCCCTCCTCACACTCTTGACCTTTCCTCTCTCCTTCCAGTTGGCTACAATGGGGAGCTGTACATCTTTGGTGGCTATAATGCAAGGTTGAACCGGCATTTCCATGACCTCTGGAAGTTTAATCCTGGTAAAGAGCACTGCCTTTAGGGGAAGAACAAGGAGCAATTGAGGTGGGAGGAAAAGAAAATAATCGTGAGGAGGTGTGGGGATGGGGGGCAGGGAAGATACCTGGACTTGACAGGTATGGAACTTCCATATAAATTTCTCTTCAGTGTCCTTTACCTGGAAAAAGATTGAACCGAAGGGGAAGGGGCCCTGTCCCCGCCGGCGCCAGTGTTGCTGTATTGTTGGTGACAAGATTGTCCTCTTTGGGGGTACCAGGTTAGGAGGAGAGAGTGAAGGGGCTCAGGGAAGTGACTAATGGGAGAGTGGGAGGTATTTGAAAAGGGGGTCTCGTGAGTAGTTTTCATTCCTACTTTCATCTCTTTTGATCGAAACAGTCCATCTCCTGAGGAAGGCCTGGGAGATGAATTTGACCTCATAGATCATTCTGACTTACACATTTTGGACTTTAGTAAGTACAGTTATTCCTGAATTGCTCCTGTCATCAAGGTCCCTGTCTTTGGGTGGTGATATCCAGGACTGAACCCTTTCCTCAGCTTTGACCATCTCCTTTCTACAACTTCACCCCTAAAGGCCCTAGTCTGAAGACTCTGTGCAAACTGGCCGTGATTCAGTATAACCTGGACCAGTCCTGTTTGCCCCATGACATCAGGTACAGTGAATGGTTGGAAGTGGGGGATTGGGTGAGGGTGAGTGAGCAGCACAGGTGTGACCTGATTAGCTTGGTCTCAGTATGGAGGAGACAAATGTTTTTGTTCTGGAGATGTAGTATACTTGTGGGAAATGAGATGAAAGGAGGTGAATTGACAGCCATCATATAAAACTGTCAGCAGAATAAATTATATGAACAAAATCCAGCTCAGCAGCATCACTTTCTGAGACCTAAGCTTATACAGTTGTTTTTGTGAACATGCTAAGAACAACTGATTAAATCTTAGAACCTAGCTGCAAAGTAAAGACAAGTTTAGGAGCCTCTGGATCACACTGGTTATAGAAGATCTGGCTGCTTCCATTTGAATTTCATTCTTAGGTTCCAGTTAACCACCAAATGTTACTTTGTGTATAATTTTTCCTGTCTGGGTCATTCTAAGACACTTCCTTTCTTTGTATCAGTGTCGTTTAACTCTTGCTGGTTGGGCATGGCGGCTCACGCTCGTAATCCCAGCCCTTTGGAGGTTGAGGTGGGCAAATCACTTGAGGTCAGGAGTTCAAGACCAGCCTGGCCAACATGGTGAAGCCCTGTCTCTATTAAAAATAACAAAAATTAGCCAGGTGTGATGGCAGCCACCAGTAGTCTCAGCTACTCTCAAGGTTTAGGCCAGAGAATTGCTTCAACCCGGGAGGTGGGGGTTGCAGTGAGTCAAGATTCTGCCAATACACCACTGCACTCTGGCCTGGGTGACAGAATGAGACACAAAAAAATAATAAGATGGGATTGGCGGGGAAGGCCCAGGAAGGATAGGAGAGCTGAGTCAGGACCTTAAAAGGATGAGAGTTTAGAGCCAAAATGGGTATTCTGGTGGGGGGGAGGCATTCCTGATGAGGGTAAGGTGGAGGGGCTGCCTGGTTCACTCTAAACAGCAGGAAAGGCAGTTTGGGATGTTGACTGACATGTATACACTGATCTCAGGTGCCTGGACACTAGAATATGCATATATATGTGTACATAAACAGGAAATCCATATGAGCTTGGAGGTAGAGGAGTGGGTGGTGTTGGATTTGGTAGTGGGTGGTTCTGATTGTTAAACCTAGTAGGTATCTAAGTAAGAGGTGGCTGTGGATGGTTGAGCTTTAGGAATTTAGAGGGACTGGTGTGTTTATGGCTTGGTTCAAGCATCTCTGGGCTTGGGCTGAGAGCTCCCTCTTCTTTCTGTCTGTTATTGTTGGCCTTCCAGGTGGGAACTGAATGCCATGACCACCAACAGCAATATCAGCCGCCCCATCGTCTCCTCCCATGGGTAGGAGGAAGTTTCTGCCACCTCCCCTCCTGAGCCTGCTGTCATCTTCACTGCCCCTGCCCATCTGTCACCCACCTGCTCCTTTGGACCCTGGACTTGGTATACCTCTATGTGGAGTTGTTGGGCAAGAGGTGTTCTTTGTACTGTGAATTCAGTGGGGAGCTGTAGGGGGGTGGGGGCCAGGTTCCTCCCCCCTTGGGCCGAGGGCCCCTTCCCCTTGGTGCTCTGTCCCCATCCACCTCCCTTCAGCTGCTCCTGGGTCTCGGCTCTGCTCCGGGCCAGCCAGGTTCTGCTGGGAAGGGAAGGGAATGGGGAGAAGGGAGAAGCAAGCAGTGTCTGAGCCTCAGGAGCTTCCCCCTCCCACTTCGTCTATCCCCTCCTCCTGCTTGAGCCTTGAGCCTTGACTGGGAGCTGAAAGGAGTTGCAGCTTTTAGCATGAGACCTCCTTCGCCCCCACTTGGGGAGGCGGGGACCAGCAGATAATCCCACCCTTCCTTGAGCTGTCGCTGTACCCTGAAGCTCAGCCAGCTCAGATTTTATAAAAATGAATTAAAACCTGCAAATGTGTCCGTGTGTGTTTGTGGAATATGGTGGAGAGGGCTGGGGTTTGCAGTGGGGGCAGGGTGCAGAGGACTAGCACCCTGAGGTTCTGGCTTCTCAGCCAAGGGTATTAGGAAACCAAATGCCACCAAGGCCTGGGCCAAGCTTCTCGGGAGTGGAACCCAGCGCCCTGCGACTCGAGTAGACGGTTGTGGCAATCTCTCCGGAGCGAGCTACCCTCTGGGCCCGGCTCCCAGGCCGCTGGCCGCGCAGTCTGTTTTCAGCCCATTAATCACCACGTTGGGACGGCCTCCGGGGAACGCCGGAAGAGGCGGGGCAGGAGCTGGCGGAAGCGGAAGCGGTGCCATTAGTTTTCCGAGCGCTACGCCTGCTGATGCTGGGAGCCAACCGGCGTTTCGGGCCGGGTGCCCGATGTCCCCGCGGGGCCCAGGACCACTGGGAGGACGGCGGGGGCCTGGCGCCCGGGTTCGCGGCCCGCGACCTGCTGAGGGGTAAGAGCACGGGGCAGGGCGGGCTGGGGAGGGGATCTGGACTCCCACGCTGGGCCCGGGACGCCGGTAAGACTGCCAAGTTCTCTGAGAGGCAGATGCTGGGGGCGCCCCCAGGGCAGTGGAAAGTGGGAGTGAAAGGAGAAGTTTCTTCACGGCAGGATGAGAGTTTTCGGCAATAGGGTAAGCAGGTTCAATACCACGGAGGCAGGAAAAGGCATGCATGTTTGCAGAAGACTTAGTAGGTCATAATTAAGCAAATTCCATAGACTTTTAAAAATTTAAATTAATTTTTAAAATATTTGAAACAGTCTCTCTGTTGCCAAGGCTGGAGTGTAGTGGCGCGATCACGGCTCACTGCGTTCGAACTCTCTCGGGCCCAAGAGTTCCTCCCACCTCAGCCTCCCGAATAGCTGGGACTACAGGCGTGCGTGAGGCATGCCTGGGTTGTTTTTGTTTTTTTGTAGAGACAAGGTCTCACCATATTACCAGGTGCCAGGGCTGGTCTTGAATTCCTGGGCTCAAGTGATCTACCTGCCTCAGCCTTCCAAAGATTCCAGGCATGAGCTACTGCACCTGGCAAATTCTGCAGACTTTTTGTTAAGGCACAGTTCTGGCTGCTGGAGATAGAGCTGTGAATAAAGTAGTCAAACACTCCTGTCCTGGCCGAGTGTGGTGACTCACACCTGTAATCCCAGCACCAGGGAAGATCACTTGAGCCCCGGAGTTCAAGACCAGTCTGGGCAACATAGTGAGACCTCTTCTCTATTAAAAAATAAAAAAAAAAAATTGGCCAGGTGTGGTGGCCCACATCTGTAGTCCCAGCTACTGAGGAGGCTGAGGCATAAGGATAGTTTGAGTCCAGGAGGTCGAGGCTGCAGTGAACAGCGATTAGGCCACTTGCACTCTAGCCTGGGCAACAGAGTGAGTCCTTTTTAAAAAATAAAATTTAAGGCAGACAAGTAAATTATTACAGTAAAAGGCAATACAACAGTAAAAGGTGGATTTTGCAGAATATGAATTGTATCTCAAATTTTTTTTTTTTTTTTGAGACAGAGTTTCGCTCTTGTTACCCAGGCTGGAGTGCAATGGAGTGATCTCGGCTCACCGCAACCTCCGCCTCCTGGGTTCAGGCAATTCTCCTGCCTCAGCCTCCTGAGTAGCTGGGATTACAGGCACGCGTCACCATGCCCAGCTAATTTTTTTGTGTTTTTAATAGAGACAGGGTTTCACCATGTTGACCAGGATGTCTCGATCTCTTGACCTCGTGATCCACCCACCTCGGCCTCCCAAAGTGCTGGGATTACAGGCTTGAGCCACCGCGCCCGGCCTGTATCTCAATTTTTTTAAGGTGATAGAGGACATGAAGAAAAAATAAAGCTGAAGAGGAGTTGCAGTTTTTATTTTGTTTTTGAGACTCCCTCACTCGCCCAGGCTGGAGTGCAATGGTGTGATCTCTGCTCGCTGCAACCTCTGCCTCCCAGGTTAAAACGATTCTCCTGCCTCAGCCTCCGGAGTAGCTGGGATTACAGGCAAGAACCACCATGTCCGGCTAATTTTTGTATTTTTGTAGAGACAGGATTTTACCATGTTAGCCAGTCAGGTCTTGAACTCCTGACCTCAGGTGATCCTCCCGCCTCGGCCTCCCAAAGAGCTGAGATTACAGGTGTGAGCCACTGCACTTGGCCAAGGGGTTGCAATTTTAAATAACTTAGAAAAGGTCTCTTTGGGAAGGTGATTTGAACAAAGGCTTGAAGGAGCTGAGCGGGGAGCTGTACATAGGTCTGGGTGGAATGTACCAAGCAGCATCATAGGCAGAGGAACTGAGGTGGGAACATACTGCTAGGAGACCAGTTGACTGGAGTGAGAAGGAGGTAAGTAGATGAGATTAAAGACATGACGGGCCATGTCACCTGGGGGCTTTCAGACTGTTGTAAGGTACATGGCTTTTACTGTGGGCAAGATGGAATCCATTGGGGACTTTTGCTCATATGTGTAACCTGTTCTGAAGTTTATATGTGGGAGTGGCAAGATCTGATTTTATTTTCCATGCCTCTCAGGCTGAATTGGGGCGCATAGCTTTGAGAGGAGTGACTGCAGATTGGGAGACTAGGAGGCTAGAGCAGTGATTGAGGTGAGAGATGCTGAGAGTATGGACCAGGACCCTGGCAATGGTAACTAAGCAAGGGAGGCAGAGGCCTTTATGAAGAAACCTGTGAATGAGTAAAAGAGAGAGTGGAAAAAGAAGGGGATATGGTTGGTCCACCTTTGACCTTACATATACACCTTCCTTAGCAAGATGAGGCCCCAGGTCGCTGAAATAGTTGGAGAGTTAGGTGTCAGTGTAACCCTCTTACAGCCTGTACTGCCTAGGACTTGTAATAATGATTGGTCTGATGGGGTATTAGAAAAGATTAGCTAGCTCAGGAATGGGGATGGGACATTCTTTTCTGCAGTGGGACATGCTGAGCTGTTGTATGTCCCTCCCCACTTCCACAGGCGCATCTAACATGTCATTTGAGGAGCTGTTGGAATTGCAGAGCCAACTGGGGACTAAGGCATACAAACAATTGGTAGCTGGAAACAGCCCTAAGAAGCACAGTCCTAGACCCGCTATTCAAAATGTACGTGTTGCAGATAAGCACAGGTAAGCAAGTCTTGCCCTAGTAGTTGGAAGATAACTGGGACCTTGAATAGGTATATGTTGTCGTGGGTGGCAGGTGGGAAGCCTTTGACCAACACTGGAGTCCTCTTGACTTGGCCTTTAATTTCTCTGTAGGCCTCTGGAAATGTCAGCCAAGATCCGAGTACCATTTTTACGTCAGGTTGTTCCCATCAGTAAAAAGGTGAGAAAGAAGGCCAGGCAAGCTGGCTCACACCTGTAATCCCAGCACTTTGGGAGGCCAAGGTGGGCAGATCATCTGAGGTCAGGAGTTCCAAGACCAGCTTGGCCAACATGGTGAAACCCTGTCTCTACTAAAAATACAAAAATTAGCTGGGCATGTTGATGTGTGCTAGTAGTCCCAGCTGCTTGGAAGGCTGAGGCATGAGAATCGCTTGAACCTGGGAGGTGGAGATTGCAGTGAGCCAAGATCATGCCACAGCCCTCCAGCCTGGGAGATAGAGTGAGACTCTGTCACAGAAAAAGAAAAAACGGTGAGGACGAGACAGGAAGCACTTTTTCTCAGTGAAAGGAGACTGAACAGTTCTGTTTTATATTCTTTGTGTTCTCTCCAAAGGTAGCCCGGGACCCTCGCTTCGATGATCTGTCAGGTGAATATAATCCTGAGGTGTTTGACAAAACATATCAATTCTTGAATGACATCCGAGCGAAAGAGAAAGAGGTATACAGCTTGAGACTGGTTCAAGGGGAGTTTTGTGGGGTGGAAATCAGGGCACAGGTTAGAGAGTTGGGCAGGGTGAGCGGAAAGTGTAGTGGTGGGCAGGTTTAACTCTTGCTAATTCAGTTCATATTCAAATCCTGGCTCATCAGTTTACTACCTCTGTGACTCTTGGCATTTTACTTTCTCTGCTTTAGTTTTCTAATCATAAGAAAGAAAATAATTACTGTCTTAGAGGCCGAATGTGGTGGCTCACACCTGTAATCCAGCACTTTGGGGGACTGAGGTGGGCAGATCACTTGAGGCTAGCAATTCAACACCAGCCTGGCCAACACGGCGAAACCCTGTCTCTATTAAAAATACAAAAATTAAGGCCAGGCGTGGTGGCTCAACGCCTGTAATCCAAGCACCTTGTAGGCCAAGGTGGGCAGATCACCTGAGGCCATGAGTTCAAGACCAGCCTGACCAACATAGTGAAACCCTGTCTTTAAAAAAAAAAGAAAGAAAAAAACTAGCCAAGTGTGGTGGTGCATGCTTGTAGTCCCAGCTACTCAGGAGACTGAAACATGAGAACCGCTTGTGCCCTGGAGACAGAGGTTGCAGTGAGGCAAGACTGCGCAACTGCACTCCAGTCTGGGGGCAGAGTAAGACTCTGTTTCAGAACAAACAAGGAAACAAACAGTTACTGTCTTGGTGTTATCAAGTTAATATGTGTGAACCTCTTAGGATGATGCGTTACATAAGATTTCAGCTAACATTTGCAGAATGCTAATGGTGATACACATTTTCCTATGTGGAGCTTGTGAAAAAACAGTTGAAGAAGCACCGTTCAGGAGAGGAGCATGAGAAACTGCAGCAACTGCTTCACCGAATGGTGAGTGGGTAATAACTGTCTGGGTAATGAAAGCAGTGAAAGGTGGGGAGATGCTCATAGCCCCTCCTATTCACCCATCTCATCTTCGCTCCTCAGGACCAGCAAGAAATGGCACAGCAGGAACGAAAGCAACAGCAGGAGCTTCACCTGGCCCTGAAGCAGGAACGTCGGGCTCAGGCCCAAGAGGGCCATCGGCCATACTTCCTGAAGAAATGTGAGTTGGGCACAACTATTGCTAACCAGGATGAGGGTGCGGGGGCCATAGTGGCAGAGTCCTGTGTTGAGGTGTCCCTGAGCTCCTTTAGGGAGGCACGAAGGCAGGATTTCATGGTAACTTGGAGGAAAGTAGAAATAGTAGGGAGGAGTTATTTGTGACCAGTCTTGTATCCCTCATTAGATCATGTCAGCTATTGTGACTTTTATCTCTTGATCTACACTCCCTTCTTCGTAACACACACACACAACACACACTACACACACACACCGCCACCACACACACAGACACATACAGCAGCAGTTGTCACTTTTATCTCTTGGTCTACACTCCCTACTTTGCACCACACACACACACACATGCTAGGCCAGGCACATAGAGAGACACACACACACACTTACATAGAAGGTGTTCATAGTTGGTCGAATTGAGTAGGACTGAGATCATATAAAAAGCCACCAGTTGGCCGGGCACGGTGGCTCACGCCTATAATCCCAGCACTTTGGGAGGCCGAGACGGGTGGATCACAAGGTCAAGAGATCGAGACCATCCTGATCAACATGGTGAAACCCCGTCTCTACTAAAAATACAAAAAATTAGCTGGGCATGGTGGTGTGTGCCTGTAATCCCAGCTACTCAGGAGGCTGAGGCAGGAGAATTGCCTGAACCCAGGAGGCGGAGGTTGCGATGAGCTGAGATTGCGCCATTGCACTCCAGCCTGGGTAAGAAGAGCAAAACTCCATCTCAAAAAAAAAAAAAAAAGAAAAAAGCCACCAGTTGGGCTGAATGCTGTGGCTCATGCCTGTAATCCCAGCACTTTAGGCCAAGGAGGGTGGATCACTGGAGGTCGGGAGTTCAAGACCAGCCTGGCTAACATGGTGAAACCCCGTCTCTACTAAAAACACAAAAATTAGTTGGGTGCAGTGGCACCCATCTGTAACCCCAGCTACTTGGGAAGCTGAGGCAGGAGAATCGTTTGAAACCAGAAGACAGGTTGCAGTGAGCCAAGATCATACCACTGCACTCTAGCCTGGGTGACAGAGTAAGACTCTGTCTCAAAGAAAAAAAAAAAGGCACCAGTGAGCTTTAAACAACTCATGTATCCCAGCATATGGCTTGGAGTTACTGACCTGGTTTGGGAAAGGATAGGGGCTTCCTTCTTTGCTCACTGTCTTTTATTCTCCCTGTCATTTAGCTGAGCAGCGCCAGTTGGCACTAGCTGAGAAGTTCAAGGAGCTGAAACGCAGCAAGAAACTGGAGAGCTTCTTGAGTCGAAAGAGGCGACGAAATGCAGGAAAGGACAGGAGACATCTCCCTTTGAGCAAAGAACAATAAGGAACTGTCAGCTGCCCTGCCACTGCCCCAGGGAGACACGGATCTGTGAGGACAGATTTGGCCTCAGCTCCTTTCTGTTCAAGGGCAAGGATCACAGCTGCCCTTGAATTTCATTGCCTCAGAGAAGACTAAAAGCCTCTTGGATGGCTCCTAGGGCTGGACAAGAAGAATAGTTCAGCCTGATGCCATGGCACGTGGCCTCAGCTTGGATCTGGTTCATTGTGTCCTTGTGTTCTTTCATCCTTACCTTAAAACAGGGATTCTGATCCTGAATAAGAGGGACCAGTGAAGACTACGGAGGTCTGTCCATGAGTCTCAGGGCTGGGACATTATGTAGGAGCCACTTCATAAACATTCTCTTTTCTCATCTTTTTATTATTCTGCTTTTTGTGGGTTTTTGTTTTGTTTTCTTTTTCCCCTGACACAGAGTCTTGCTCTGTCATCCAGGCTGGAGTGCAGTAGTGCGATCTCGTCTACTACAGGTTTAAGTGATACTTGTGCCCCAGCCTGCTGAGTAGCTGGGATGACAGCCATCCACTACCATGCCTGGCTCATTTCTTTTGTATTTTTAGTAGAGATGGAGTTTTGCCACGTTGGCTAGGCTGGTCTTAAACTCCGGGCCTCAAGTGATCTGCCTGCCTTGGACTCCCAAAATGCTGGGATTACAGGTGAGAGTCACTGCTGCTTCTGGCCTTATTCTGCTTTTGTGTAGGATTTGTAGGTAGCCTAGAACTACTTTTTTTAGTGTGCCACATGTTGGGATGAACAACAAAGTCTTTTATAGGGTAGGAGGCAGGCCCTATCTTCTGTGTAGATTTGTGGTGGGGATTTTCCCAAGCATGGGAAATGGGTTCAGATGACATGGTTATAAAATGTAAATGCCCACTAAAAGGTAGTCAGTATTGGCTACCCTAAGCCTTCAAACTGTTGCTTTTCCCCTTCAGCAAGGACCCAGTGGAGACATTGGGAAGTTCTGAGCTTCAGCTTTTGGTTTTTGGTAATAGGTTTATTGAGATACAATTCCCTTAACTATACAGTTTACCCATTTAAAGTATACAGTGTTTTTTTAGTGTATTTATGGAATTGTGCAACTCTTGCCACAATTTTGGAGCATTTTTGACATCACCCCCCCAAAAAAAAAACAAAAAACACCTATACTCTTTAGCAGTCGTGCTCAATCTTTTCAGCCCTAGGCAACCACTCATCTACTTTCTGTCTTTATAGACATCTGCCTACTGGGGACATTTTATATAAGTGGAATCAGTATGGCTGGGCATGGTGGCTTACGCCTGTAATCCCAGCACCTTGGGAGGCTGAGGTGGGCTGGTCATGAGGTCAGGAGATTGCAGCTATCCTGGCTAAAACGGTGAAACCCCATCTCTACTGAAAATACAAAAAATTACCCTGGTGTGGTGGCACATGCCTGTAGTCCCAGCCACTTGGGAGGCTGAGGCAGGAGAATTGCTTGAACCCAGGAGGGAGAGGTGGCAGTGAGCCAAGATTGTGCCACTCACTGCACTCTGTCTCAGAAAAAAAAATGGCATCAGGCCAGGCACGGTGTCTGAGGCGGGTGGATCACGAGGTCAAGAGATGGAGACCATTCTGGTCAACATGGTGAAACCCCGTCTCTACTAAAAATACAAAAAATTAGCTGGGCATGGTGGCGCGTGCCTGTAATCCCAGCTACTCAGGAGGCTGAGGCAGAAGAATTGCCTGAACCCAGGAGGTGGAGGTTGCAGTGAGCCGAGATGGCGCCATTGCACTCCAGCCTGGGTAACGAGCGAAACTCGTCTAAAGAAAAAAAAAAAACAAGAATTGCTGTAGGCTAGGCGTGGTGGCTCACGCCTATAATCCCAGTACTTTGGGAGGCTGAGGCTGAGGCAGATGGATCACCTAAGGTCAGGAGTGCCAGACTAGCCTGGCCAACACAGTGAGACCCCATCTCTACTAAAAATATAAAAATTAGCCAGGCGTGGTGGTGGGCGCTTGTAGTCCCAACTACTTAGGGCTGAGGCAGGAGAATCACCTGAACCCGGGAGATGGAGATTGCAGTGAGGCAAAGATCAAACCACTGCACTCCAGCCTGGGCGAGATGGCTCATGCCTGTAATCCCAGCACTTTCGGAGGCCGAGGCGGGTGCATCACCTGAAGTCAGGGGTTCGAGACCAGCCTGACCAACATGGAGAAACCCCATCTCTACTAAAAATTACAAAATAGGCCAGATATGGTGGTACATGCCTGTAATCCCAGCTATTTGGGAGGCTAAGGCAGGAGAATTGCTTCAACCTGGGAGGTGGAGGTTGTGGTGAGCCAAGATCGTCCCATTGCGCTCCATCTCAAAAAAAAAAAAACAAAAAACGGGTGGATGTGGTGGCTCATGCCTGTAATCCCAGCACTTTGGGAAGCTAAGGCAGGTGGATTACCTGCGGTCAGGAGTTTTAGACCAGGCTGACCAATATGGTGAAACCCCATCTCTACTAAAAATACAAAAATTAGCTGGGTGTGGTGGTGGGCACCTGTAATCCCAACTACTTGGGAGGCTGAGGTTGTAGTGAGTCGAGGTTGTGCCACTGCACTCCAACCTGAGAGATAGAGTGAGACCGTGTAAGAAAAAAAAAAAGGCTGAGCACGGTGGCTCACGCCTGTAATCCCAGCACTTTGGGAGGTCTAGGCGAGTGGATCACAAGGTCAGGAGTTCAAGACCAGCCTGGCCAAGATGTTGAAACCCCGTCTCTACTAAAAATGCAAAAATTAGCTGGGCGTGGTGGCACGTGCCTGTAATCCCAGCTACTCAGGAGGCTGAGACGAGAATTGCTTGAACCTGGAAGGTGGAGGTTGCAGTGAGCCGAGATCACATCATTGCACTCCAGCCTGGGTGACAGAGTGAGACTCTGTCTCCAAAAAAAAAAAAGAATTGGAGACTTTCCATCGCAGATGAGCAGGAAGGTACCCCATGGGAGACTGGCAAGGTGACTGAGTAGGATGACCAGGGGTTGATGAGGGTGAGAGGGGAGACCCCCCCCATCTCCTTCAATTTCACCTTCTCCCTCCCACCTTCCAGATGGGAAGGAGGGTGAAGAAGGAAAAAAAATAAAATACCAAAGAGCTGGGAAAATGACTCCCTTTTTAGTTCCCAGCATCTCTACTATCTGTTAACCTTGAAAGAGCTGCAAATAAATGCTATCTCTGCCAGCTGGAGCCTGGCACTGGTTCATGCCCCCATGTCTCCACGGACGAGGCTCCATCCTGGAAACACCTCTGCCAACAGCTTGTTGCTTTTGTCTTGTCTCTGTAAGCCCCCTCCCCTCCTGGTCCCCACTCTTGCTGCATATGAATTAGCAAATCAATGAAGCCAAAAGATTGTAAGGTTGGATGTCCAGCAAATGGGCAATGACATAGTTCGGCCTCAGTTTCCCCTTCAGCGTTGTAAGCCTATAAAAGTGGGGAGAAGCTGCAGCTTGGGGAGCTTGGTGAATGAGGCTGTAGCCCCCTGCAACTCCCTGCTGAATAAAAAGCCACTTACTTCCTCAGTTTGGTGTTCGAGAGGTTTGTTCCCTGCCACTCCTGCTTCAAGGGCAGTGAGTTCAAGGCATAGCCTACGGCTCAACCCAGGGAGGAGGCCTCAAGGCAGAAGCAGCACAGTAAGTCCTATTATCTGTCCCTATGTGCACTGCATGCTGGGCTGGCTACCGGACCCCACAGCAGGAAGTGGTTTGAGTTTCTGCTGAAGAAGGATACACTCATAAAGAGCAGGAAAGTCTAGACAAGGGAAAAAAACTCTGGCACTTGAGAGCAAGCTCAAGAATATTGGGCCTGGGCCAATAAAAGGCTATAATCTCTGGTTCAAAGGTGGAGAGGCACCCAAGTGACAAACTGCAGCAACCCCAATGTGTCTGGCCTACTGTGGCCCCCACCTGCTGCTGCCGCCTGTCTGGATTCTGCTCCAAAGGGCAGCCATGGCTCAGCAGGCCGGCCCCTGCTTTGAGAGCCACCAACACCACCACGGGACCAATACTACAAAGCAAGCACGAGCCGTCTGCTGGGGCCCCTCTGTATCATGGCCTCATTCTGAGCAGCCTGATTCTCCCACAAGCCATGGCCTTTCTCCCCCACTAGACTCCTAATCCCAGGCCTGGTGGCACTCAGTTCTCTCTGTCTGGCTTCTGTGGCCTCCTTTATCACCTGACTCTTCCTCTTCCCTCTCCCCGCTCCTTCCAAGACTTTTTCTGTCACCTCTGGGCTATGAGCTTTGAGATGCCTGGGTCATCCCTCCTTTTCTCCTCCCCAGTGGCCCTGCCAAAACAGAGCTGTACCCCTGGCACAGGGTCCCCTGGCCTGACCTGAGCTGCCCTGCTTCAGTGTGGATGGTGCCAAGAGAGCCAATCATAGTAGCAAAAGCAAACCTCCCCAACAGCAGCAGAGTAGAGGCTTACCTATGGGGCTAGTTAGGGGTAGGAGTTTCTGCTTTTTCTAAAACAGAGACACAGGGTCTGTTGCCTAGGCAGGAGTACAGTGGCTATTCACAGGCACAATCCCATTACTGATCAATCAGCCTGCTCTCTTTCTGACCTGGGCCAGTTCACTCCTTCTTAGGCAACCTGGTGATCCCTTGCCCTTGGGAGGTCACCATATTGATGCTGAACTTGGTGCAGATACCTGAACAGCAGAGCACACTGCAGCCCAGAAATCCTGGTCTCAAGCCCAGAAATCCTGGCCTCCTGCCTCAGCCTCTCCAGTAGCTGGGACTAAAGGTTCATATTGCTGTGCCTGCAGGGGTAGGAGTTTCTTTCTCTTTCTTTCCCCTTCCTCCCTTCCTTTCCTTCCTTCCCTTTCTTTCTTTCTCTCTCTTTTTCTCTCTTTCTTTTTTCTTCCACTCTCTCATTTTGAGAATCAAGGGGTAAGAGTTTGATGACAGTGTGTGCAGCTCTGCAGGGATAGAGAAAGGGTGGAGGCAGAGGAATGGAAGAGAGGAGCGAAATGGTGGAGCTTTGTGGAAGTAAGAAATGTTGGTCACTAACCTCACCTTCATCGTTTCAGTCTTACTTAGGGAAGGCACCAAGGAAGCACTTTCACTGCTGGGAGTGGTGGCCAAAATGGGGACTCACTGGCAAAGCCTTCATTTGCCACGTCAAATGCTTCCATGCCTGTTACTTGTCAGAGTCCCACAGTGACTGGGCCAATTCCATAAATGAGGAAAATGAAGCCCTGCTCGATAATCTGTCCAAGTAACAAACCATCTAGTGAGTGGCCAAGGTGGGCTTGGGCCTCCAGCCTACCAGATGAAAGCACTTCTGACCACACACCCTCTGAGACAGGGCTCAGCGCCATCATCCTGCCTGAGTCCCCTCAATCCCTCTGCTAAGTTGC